CTGCACTTTTACATCGATCCATCCAATTATAAAAGTCTTTTCCCGGTGGTTGTACATTTATAGACCACCTATGTTCGTCCGAATCTTTAAGCGTTGTACCATCAGCATGAACTAAACTTTCAACTATTATTACAGTTTCGGTAGCTCCAATGTCTATAGGTTGTCGAAATACAATTCTACCAACTAGAGGGTAGCGAAAAATTGCTTCTGATGTTAAGTATGCAACTTTAGTTTGAGAATTTGGACCAGTAAATGGTAACAATGTAGTGCAAGTTAATATTTCCTTATTTCTAAAATAAAAAATATAACATTAATTTCTTTATTAAATAAAATTTATATAATATTTACATGTATAAAACTAATGATCTGTGAATAACACTATTGCTTCCAAATAGAGGTAAATATGTATCCCAGTTAGAACTATCATAGCTATATTTTCCACTTAAGTCGCCAATAGCATATTTATCTTGAGTTTGTCTTTCAGATTCAGCGGGAAATAATTTACCAGTTGGATTAAAAACTTTACCAACACCCAAACAATTATTATTTATATTTGATGGTGTCTTATACGTTTTTGGAATTAATGGCATTTCATGCAATCTTAAAGTTATATCATTTTGGATTGAATCAATTTTGGTATAAATATTAGCAACTTCAAACTTTGATTTTTGCCATAAAGTCAACTCAAGTTTTATTTTTGTTTCATTAATAAATCCCCTATAAAAAAAATAATAATATATAGTTATCCATTAATTATATGTATTATATGCTAATTTAATTATTTGAAATAAAAATAACTACTTAAGTGTAATGCTTTTTTTTAGATTTATTTGCGCACAATCTAAAATATTATCAGCTCGTTCACTATCAAACAAAACCATGTATAAAACTCTATTATCATATTCAATATCAAATGTTGCTAAATTAGTATCTCGTATCAATGATTTTCTTCCAATTTTAACTGGCCCAAGTCTAGCACTTAAATCACCTAAGCCATTAGATTCAGGATCATATAAAATCTGAAGAGCATCACAATTCAATTTTGATTTATCTAAAAAAATTTACAAAATACATTATTATATTTAATAAAAACAACATCATATTGTAATAATTATGTATAAGTAACATACCTGAAATAGATTCAAGAACATCAGTTGAAAATATTTTCCAGTTATTGGTAGTGAGCTCAGTTTTTAAACTTTTTCTATCTTCAAGATTAGTTAATATGACAGCATCCATTAAACTTCTTGATATACCAACCCAAACTATATAAATACTGCCAAAAAATCGAGTTTGAAACTTAGCTTCAGCTACTCTCAATTCTGAATCATCTTTTGCCTGTAAAAAGTTTATTTAAAAATATGGTTCTAGTTTAGTTGATACACCCATTCAAGAAAAGTTTTTTCTCGCCAGACAGATTTAAATATTTAATTATATCTCTAGTATTTTTATGTTCTAATCATTATACAGTAGTCTATACATTTAAATAATAATTAAAAAAGTGCTTTTAAACTTTAACAGTTGAATCAGTGATGAAATAAAATAAAATAAAGTTTAATTATTTTGATTTATTTTTTAACCTAATGGTCTACAACTAAATTATAATAATCAAATTCATTATTAAAATATAATTAATTATCGACACATATAATATCAAATACTATTCGATTCAGCAATAATTCTATGAATGAATAAAATATGATAATAAGTAGCTAATACCACTTAAATTTGTTTATTAAACAATATAAAATGAGCATGCCAGAGCATATTTTAAGTAATTTTCACTGGGTGGCACTTCAATAAAATTGTCTACCAGAGGAACATAGAAAGAAAATCAACTCTYCTATCTYAACAATTTTGATAKAGGTTTATTAACTGTACTCTACTGAAAAATACATCTACAAGTTGTATATAGGTTTATTTATTGAGAATTTGAGATATTATTATTATATCAAAATAACCGATTTTTCAATAATATAACTTTGATAAAATAAGTAGAACAG